AGTGATTTTCTAAAAGAGAAATAACGTGAGAATTGGAAAATGTATCGATATGTATTGCTATTATTTGTTTGAATAGGATTAGTAATAAACCTCGTAATCAGTTACGAAGTAAGTTTGTTTCAAAATAATTGTTTGGGCCTTATTTGTTGAAGAAAAAAAAGGAAAAGACGTTTAAAATTATTTTAGTATCGGGACACTTAAAATCGACAAAAAACGAGTAAGGGAAAGAAAGGGTTCTCGAATACCGCGGCACGTAACAAATAGTATTGTGTGTGCAAACGTCGCTCCGTCTTTAAATTCCTTATTTATATATTTATTATTTATTTTTTGTTTATATAGTGTTTATAAACATTCTATATGCAAGTAATAATTTTTGTGCGCAAATGAACTGTTGGCAAATGGAATATAGGCAAATGACACTGCTAGCAATTAATTTTGTAGATTACATTCTCTCACAAAAATATCTTTATAGAAAAAAAAGTTAAATCACTTCTAAACCAGCAGCTTTTAAACAGATATTTGAAAAAGATACTTAGAAAATATTTAGAAGAGCTATAACTTAGAACACACAAATATTTAGAAAAAAATAAGTTGACAAAATCTTTATCATTTTGCCAATGTTTTAATGTATAACATACATCCTTAAATAACTAAATATCAAAATTAGAATTAAAGTTAAGTAAAGAAAGATTTAATTAGAGATTTAATAATTTAATCAAAGAACGGAAATTAAATAATTAAAATTAGAAGAAAAGAACAAATATTATGCTCATGAAAAAATGAAATTTATGTGGCTTAAACGTAAAGGTAGCAGTCACGTATTTATTTAATATTGCATGGGTATAAGAAAAACTGGTTATCAATTTTATAGTTTATTCTTGGACGGTATCTGATATTTTTGCACAATATATTAACAATTATTATTTTGTCAACTCGATAAAAAAATACATAGAATATTGATATATTATAGTAATATTAGGACACTCTGAACTTTACCCTTAGGTCAAAGTTGAAAGCAACAAAAAAAACACACGCACACGCACGCACAAACACACACGCGCATGTATTTATTTATTCTTTTATGTATGATGATTTGTGGAGAAATTGGGCCAGCGTTCGATAATTTTCTTCCCTTAGTTCATTAAACATATATGTACAATGTCATAACGTTCATCTTTCTATTTCTATCGAAATACACAGATTATCTTTTATAATTATTTTTATATTCTAAACTTATTATTTTGCAAAAACTCACATTTGTGCTTCTTCTTCAAAGTTAAACTATATTGTATTTGCAAAACTAAAGAATTTCTTATTTCAAAATTACAATGTTACAAAAAATTTGAAGAATTCCATGGACCAAATTTAACATATCTAATTTTTTCGTAAGACTTGAAAATTTAATTATTGGATAAATTATCAGGATACAAAAGATGTTATATTGCGCAGAAAAAAAGTTACATTCACTGATCATGCAAAAAATATATATATTAAAAGGAATGAACGGACATTCGTTCTATATTGAATATCTCGCTGAGCATTGAGTTTAAAATAATTAATACTAGCATGTAATTTAAATTTTCTCAATATCTTTTTAATATTTTTTATAAGACTAATAATTTTTATTATTTTATTTTATAAATCATTAAGAATTTCTAAAAAATTAGTACCTTGATGTAGATTAATATAAATGTAAAGGTTTTCTTTGACTTTATCTATTATTCGCCATTTTTATGGAAAAGACAAAATCTTTAGAAAATGCAAAATAGAATGCTTAGGCGTAAGGAATGATAGAAGAATAGGAAGGTATATGCAACTGTTGAAATAAATCTCTAAATTTCGAAGCTTAGGAAGTTGATCTCACAAAATAAATTCTCGATTCCTTTTAATTCAGCCATTTTTTGCATAGTAGAAATATCTCATATAATCTAAAGAAATACAGGATGATTCAGAACAACCGTTTGTCCATTGCGCGCGCGCGCGTGTGTATGTGTGGTGTGTGTGTGTGAGATAAGCATGCATGCATGTGTTTCATGTATTCATCAATACTCACGTCAGCGATCAGCTGATTGCATCGAGTGCCCACGTAATCGTTCTGAATCACGTCCTGTATACAACACATCGACCGAGAAAATATGTTATATATTCCGAATGTATATTCATCAAGAAATGTTTCTTTCTACCATAGTAATATTCGCAAAAATAACATCTAATAACATTTAATTTACAACAAAGAATTATTTCGAAATATTTAAATATGTTTTCTATAAATTTTTTGAAACTGCAAAACAAATTTTCTAGCACATTTCCAAAATAATTGCTTTTTGTAATATTTAAAAATTTATAAAGAAGATTAACGATATCTTGAAATTCTGATCAAAAGTCATATAAATATATTCATCTTCTATAAAATTTATTTTTTTTATTTTGACATCTTACTTTTTAATCATATTATGAAGAATTTTAAAAGTCTATTATTCTTAGCAAAACTTTATATCAGAGATACCTACCTTTTTATCTGATCATGCCATTATAGATTGGAATTTTTGGTGTATCATCATTTTTGATGTATTTGCCAGAATAAGGCAAAAGGAATAAGGCAAAATAAATAAAAGGAAAAAAAAGTCATAATCTTATTTATACTTTCCTCTTTATATTGAAAGAGGAAAGATTTCTTTTGTTTAACAAAGTTATCATTTTTGTTTTTTTAATTTTTTTTTTAGTGCATTTTTTGCATGATGTGCATGATATATCAGTTATCCTTGGATGCTTTCCATTTAGTGACACAAGTCGACACAAGTATCATTTTGTCCTTGTTAATCATTGAAAATCAAGAAAGATAGAACGATACTTGTGTCGATTTGTGTCACTAAATGGAAAGCATCCCTTGTTATTCACTGCATATTAAACAAAGATAAATGATGCGCTATACGTATCATGCAAGAGATAGAACGCATCCTTTAACAACGCGTGGTTCTTCAGTCGCGTCATTAATTGTAAGTGTGTCTTTGCGTGTCATTAGTGGCACGCCTACTGCCAAGTTGGCTATTCCTGCTCTTTTGCAAAATTCTTCATAACATGAACATTTTTCATTCACTAAAACGTAAAATCGAAATAAAGAAGATACATTTTATTTAAACAATATTTATGGTTCTGATCAGAATTTTAAAATTAAATTATTAATTTATAAAAAATCTTCAAATGTCACAAACATTTTTTACATATTACAAATTATCAAACATCATATTCAATATCCAAAAATTTATAGAAGCACTTCATCTGGTTCAAAATATTAAAAAATATATTCTTTTGTATTCTAATGTAATTTACATGTAAAATATTTATCTTCAAGCTTGCGAACTTCTATTCACCGTAACAAGGAAAACGTCACTTTTTTCAACATAAAAAACTATATAACGACACGCCTTATAAGAATACTCCGCTAAGAATACAGCTTTTAGAATGTTTAGGACGTACGTGCATTAAGGGGGGATTCTGGTCTAGAAGCTTGATTTTTAGGCTATCTTCATGAATTTTTTTGAAAAATTTATAAGGTCTCATTCAAATTAGGGTTTCTGCTACATATTAGTACACATTTCAAGTATCTTTCAGAATTTTTTTATTGTAATCCAAGAAATAAGCCCTGTATAAGCCCTGTATAGTTTTGTGAGACCGTGAAAAAAATAAGGCGCTGCATGATTGCGACTCATCCGAAACAAAAAAACCAAAGAGATTCTTATAATATAAACTATTATACAGGCTTATTTCTTGGAATATTACAATAAAAAAATTTTGAAAGATACTTGAAATGTATACTAATATGTAGCAGAAACCCTGATTT